GACAGATCCTGACGTCTTTTGTGTTAAATAGAAGTTTCAATTAGAGCAACGTGTCCATTAGTATCAAGGTAACTTTAGTAACAGCAGAACAGAGAAAAAGCCCACACACTTAGCAGCTTTAATTCACAACATTTTATTCTAAAAACAATAAAAGTTTTATGATAAAAGCTCCAAATGTGTTGGTTTTTCCCTCTTCCACCTTAAGAAAAAGCACTTTTCACTCACCGAACCTCTTGTATCCAAAAGACTGTACTTCCTCCTCGTCTGCAAAGTCGTCTGTGTGACATAATCAGAAACATGACATTAACAGGTCATATGCACGCTAGTCGGGGAAGGAGGGGAGGGGGGTACATTGTGTGTAAAGCAGGACTCCACAAACAAAATAAAAACTACAGCTGTACAGAGCGAAGAACTCAGACTTCCTTGAATACAGTGATCACTGTTTAGCAGAGTGGAGACAGCCAACAAGGCATTAGGTTGGAGATAGTGGTGTATCATCTTTAGCCTGACTCTGTGTGTGTGTGTGTGTGTGTGTGTGTGTGTGTGTGTGTGTGTGGAGATAGGAGGTCCAGAGAACTGTAAAAGCCACAGGCTGCGGTTTCTCTGGGTTGTTGACAGTAAACTCTAATTACACTCTGCTGCACACTACACTGAAGACTGGAGGAGAGAGCTCAGAGAACAGCACTGGTAATGGTAAACAGATGGGACTGAGGTGGTGGTTGTGGTGGTGGTGGGGGGAGACAGGGAGGGATGAGCTGAGTGTGTGTTTGCTGGTAGGGGGTCAGAGGGGGTTAGACTAGAGGAAGAGCCATTGATCGGTTAGTTAACCTCATCTTCTTTCACTAATGTGAATAAAATACTGTGTGGTACAAATATGTTGCTTTAAGTGGCTACTGGTAGTCAGTGATGGAGTTCTCTGATCTTTTCTTCATCACCATAAAGGTTTTTTTTTGGAAACAGCATCTTGACCCTTCAAACAGGGACTGATAGAGGTCCTGGAGTGGGTTGTAAGGGGTCCCCGGTAAAAGGAGGAATAGAATTTTTTTACTTTTTTATCACATTTATTGGAAGTTTGATCATTTAATGACTGTTAAGACTTCATTATCTTATTAAAATCCCCTCAAATTGGGGGGTCCGAGGTCTAATGTGCATCTACTGTGGGGGTCCTTGACATGAAAAGGATTGTGAAACCCCTGTCTTGACCTATTGTTTCTCAAATATCACAAATTTTTAAATGCATTAACCGGATTCACAGCCTAATTGTGCAAACCTGCTCTTCTTATATTCTTCAATGGGATGCAGCTGAGTGGTGGAAGAAAATCTAAAAACTCCAAAGTATTTCACAACTTTCTGCACCGCAGTACCGTAATGTCATCCAGATGTGAAGATGTGAATCGCGCAACCACAAAGAAATACGCGCAGACTTAATTAAAACAGTAAAGAGTGGATTTAAACACACACACACACACACACACACACGTAAAGACAACATCATACCTTTCATGGCGTTTTATAACTCGTTGAGGACTGTAGAAGAGATGAAGGACCCCTGTCACTTTCTGCGCATCTCAGCATCCAGTGCAAAGGTTGTTTAAACTTGTTCCCGCGGAGAACGACGCTCAAACTTATATAATACAAAGAAAATAATACAAACTATAAGTTTGTCTTCATGTTGAGTCTTTTTCGGTTTAAAATCCCATCGTCCCTGTTCTGGCGCTTTTGCTTCAGAGGAGTGTTTTTGTGCAGGAGTGATGTGATGTTCAGGAGGAGGGAGTCCTGTCTTGTTCCTGCCAGCGTCAAGTTACAGACAACGACACCGTGCACTTCCGGTGAGGCTTTCAGAATTAAAGTCTTTTCTTTTGTTGTTGCGTAACACATCACAGCTGTAAAGAAATAGTTTACTTTTTCAACATTTAGCTTCTGTGTGCAGTTATTTTGTATTTTTTGTTAGTTTTTAGTTTTTATTTAATTTATATTTATTGTTTTCAGTTCAGTTTAGTTTCAGTTTATTGTGGATTTGCTTATTCAAATGTTTAGTTTCAATTTTTTAATTTTTTTTATTATAATATGAGGGGTGTTTGTTGGACTAGGTATTACAATACAAACTCATTGACACACAGCCATAGATATCCCAGTCTCGTATTCACTAGTGCCTCCTCATGCAAATTGACTAAAACTAAAGACATTTCCTGTATATCTTATTTTATTTAGTTAGTTTTTGTTTTTTCTAGTGTACAATGTTTTTTCTGATGCTGCTCGTAATGGACCGTATCTGGATGGGTTTATGGATTAACCTCATATTACTTTAATTATATTTATTTAAAATCTGTTACAGGTCTATAATGTGCACTACAGAAACAAATTGCTGCCTTAGCGCCATCTGCAGTTCTACCCCCTCTTATTTTGAAGGTTAATATACCTAATTTCCTCTTTTCTCTATCTATCTCTCCAGCTTTCTCTCTCTGTGTGACTCTTTGTAACGCCACTCTGGATACAAGCACTGTCCCCACTCATTGTTTTGAAGTCATACCAGTGACGGTCCCAACCCGTCTGCCTGTGTCTCCCCGGCAGGGAGAGGAGGAGGCGCGGCCTGCTTTCAACACCCACAGACCCCAGGACGTCGTGCGCTGCAGTAATCCAGCCGGAGATGAGATTAAGTTACTGGGGGTTGATGGCAATCGCGTCCCCGGGTGAAAATCTGGTACCCATTAAAGATAATTTCAAAGGTTTTCGGGGAGGTGGAGCGACACAGAAACGGCGACATTTCTGTGCAGTTCCTGTGTTTTTACATCTTCACATCTCATTTCCTTTAGGGATGAAGAATAACTTTCATATAGGCTACATTTGATATTCCTTTAGGGGCGTTTGGCCTCTCTGCGGTAGGCTACTCAATAATAAGTTAATCGTGTGGTTTGGAGTATTTTATCAACTGATTTATCATAATAAGTCCACATTCCTGTAAATACTGCAAAATGGACATATTTTCAAGTCATTTCCATAAAACAAGAGAAGAAAATCTGACAGCTCAGTAATTATTTCAACCTGGACGAGTACAAACACCCCTTTTGTTTGTAAATGTAACACTTTCTATATCTATAAATAAAGAAAAATTCACTAAAATCATGAAAAATTAAAAAAAATTCTGGGAAAGTTATGGATTAAGTTGATTTAATTGAGTATCCCCACTGCAGTGGCGTTGTTTTTATTAGATGATAATACAATTCTTTGAATTTATAGGCAAAAATCACCTCATGAAGACACTGATTTTCCCCTTTTTAGTGCCTTATTATCATTATAGTACTTTTATCTTCCTTGGTATGTCTGTTTTTAATATACAAAACAAGACTGATTTGCATAATATCCTTCAAAACATTTCATGAAAAAGCATTTGTTCATTTTTGACATGACAATTTCTGTCTCTGTTGCATATGGCAGCCAAGACTGACCACGATCTATCAAAATTAGACTGTAAAAGTTCACCGGCGGCTGTTTCCCTCTTAACTCCTCCAGGTGCAGTGATAATTTCAACAGTTCCTGTGTCCATAATCTCTCTCCGGCCTGCCGACGCAGATAACTGATCAAAGGCAGAAAAACAGCTGCATCAAACGGACCCACTCTCATGTCTTCACAGCATACAGCTCAGTGTCAGTGGGTTACATTGCACTTATGTTTCCCTGATGTTAATCTGTTTGCACTCGCTCAGTTCAAACCAATTGATTTACAGGACAAAGAAACAGATAACACAAACTTTCTCTGGCTCTAAAATCCTCTGAAACAGACATCAAACTCAGATCTGTTTTTCTTCTGTCTTTGGATAACAGAGCCTTCAAACCCAGGCTCAGTGCTAATAGCTCTAGTTTGACCCAGTCCACCACATATTAGATTCCAGACCAGCCTGAGATGATAAAGCGACTAATTACTTGTTTTCCTAAAGGCTTCAAAACTGTTATTTTACTGTCGGCTATAATTGGAGCAGCAGGCTGGTATTAGGGCTCAGATAGGGATCGTGGCGAGTTGATAAAAAGCAGCTGAGGGTCAGGTATCTTACAGCCCTGCTCCTGCTGGTCCTCATTCAGAGGTTGGGACCTCATTTGCTGGGTCAAGGCTTTTTCAGCAGTGGGCTCAGATTTACAGAGGAGCTGAGAAAGCACACAGGAATTCCACATTTACCACGCTGCTGCCATGTTTAGATATCATGATAAGAACAACTCAGATTGTCTTGTATGCAGCAGGAGAGAGTCGCTGGTGGTAGAAACCAGAAAGACAGGAAGCAAAAGGACTTTTTCCTCATACAGTGCTGACACAGTGTGATGGATGTTTCAGATTATGCTTGCTAAGAACTTGCAGAAAAGTCTGAGAAGGGTGCTATATGAGTAAGATTGGTGATATCGAAGATGAATCTCTTTGCTGGTAACTTTGCATTTAATCAAAAACTTAAGGGGGCAAAGTGAGTTACCTTATTGTATCCCACTGTACTTAAATATTGGATATATTTACAGGAGTGGCTTTATTTAAACCTCCAATAACCAACTTCTTTAGGCCCAACTGCTGCTTATTTGCACAGACAGCACTTATGGAGCAATATAGCATTTATCTGGAGTCATGAGTGCAATATTCACTCTGTTTTAAGATAAGATAAAATAACATAAGATAAGATAATATAAGATAGAACTTCCCCAATCCCCAAAGGAAATTGCTGTGTGCTGCAATACAAAGTAGTGCAGATTTCTTTAGTGCAAATACAAAAGTTATCCATCCAAACATTTCAAACTGTACAGAGTTCAGATTAAAAGTTGCAAACACACTGGTTTTTCGTATTATCATGCATATTTGCACATGTACACACAGTCCGTCTGCTCCTCTTGAGGCCTACAATGCAGAGCTCAGACAAGACCATGCCATTGTGTGCCAGGTCTCTGCAGGGAGCTCAGGCTTACCGTCAGTCTGATGGAGATTAGAGCAGAATGTTTTACCTGAGAGGGGCTCTGGAGTATGTTGGAGGCAATAAGGTGAGATAGACCTGCAAACAATGGAGCATGTAATGTTTACCGTGCATTAAAGCCTGTCTTAAGCTGATCTGTAGTTATGCTGTGCGCATAAGGCTTAATAATGCAAACACCCTAATAGGATCTGTGCCGGTGAGTAGATCCATAAAAATAGAACAATCCTTTGAGGAAGTAGACGACTCACTCTCCTCTCTCCAACAGCACAACCAGCTGAGTCTGATGTTTTCATAGTTATCAAGGTAAATATTTTATACTTCTATAAACTGTTATACATTTTCATAATTTATTTCTGTTCTGCGTATAGGAGACTTATTAAGAGTTATTTATTCACAGGTAGCATCAAATACAATAATAATGGGACACATGCAAACTGGGAATTCTATAGTAAAACTCTGTGTTTTTAGTGAAAGTTAATGAAAAGCATGGGAAAGACATTAGAATATGACATTTTTATGTTATGTGGGCAGGTTCAGTGCCAGTTTGTGCTGACATTAATTCATATTATCACTTACAGGTGCTAGAACAAGAAGAATTTATTTACTGAGGAAAGATTAAATAAGTCATTTGAGCTTTTGCAATTTTGTTAACTTATAATAAATAATTCAGTCGCACTGTGTTATAGTTATTATCCTTGTTATGCAATGTGATACTTCCACCCAAGAAAGATTAGTTGACTGCAGTAGCTTTAGTTAATGGGGATCTCTTTCGGTAATCGTGTTAATTTACCCTCACACTGACATACTTGAACCTTTTTGTTCACAGGGATAATTAGTTGCTCCTAATTGTTATTGTATTATTATACACTGTATGTATCATATAAAAGGTCTCTACATTAAAATCATTGAGAAATGGCACCACCTTGTGGCAGGTTACATGGTGGCTCAAAGCATGTCTTTTGTTTGTAGAGCTGTATGTTACTCCATAGCAGAATAATGAGTAAGTTCTGTTCTGTTTTTACAGAGCTCAAAACACGATGAAGAGGCTGCTTGTTCAAATTCTTTGCATCACAGAAGTCCTGCTCTGTGCTGCTGACTCTCCGCCACTGAGCGAGGACACGCTGGAAAGTGAGGCCTTCATTAACAGAAAACACTTTTCTTACTAATACCGATTGCAGAACTTAATGCCAGCATGTCTCATTGGTGTGTGTAGAGCTGTCTGCAGCAGGAGAGCAGTATGTCGATGAGGAAATAAAGCGGGCGTTACTCGGGGTGAAGCGGGTGAAGGAAATGATGGAGAAAAAAGATGAGAAGCACAGACATCTTATGGACGCCCTGAGACACAGCAGTGACAAGAAGAAGGTATAAAGTGTTTCTGTGATTGCAACTATAAGGCCCAGTGTGTAAAATGGAAATATAATATTCATAAGTATGTTTTCATTAGTGTATAATCACCTGAATATAGGAATCGTGTTTTCGTTACCTTACAATGAGACATTTTTATCTACAGAGGAAGCGGGTCCTCTGCCACAGAGGCCGCCCTGTTGAATCACCATGTTTATTACAGATCACATAGACCAATTACTGGCTCTTTCGCAGCCCCCGTAGTTTCTCCTTAGAAGGCTGAGCTGTATTCAAGTGGTTGCAACTTCACTGTCAAATGCCACTAAATCCTACAGACTGGTCTTTTAAGTGTCGTGCCTCTGCAAACCGACCGATATTTGCAGTAATCATTCCTGATGTAAGAAACCCACAGTTGAAATACCATGATGCCAGGATGCATTAACTTTTGACCGAACATGACCATTGTAGTTGAGCAGTTAAATGCCAGTCTTTGAGCATTATTCTGAAGCCCATCACATATTTTCTGCCTCATAAAGGCAAAGCCGCACAAAGCTTCACAGAGAAACCTCAAAGCAGACAGTGAATAATGTATGTGGGAGTAGGGCTAGTTTAGGGAGTCGGGGTGTAGTTTTACTACAGTCAGGATAAATGAACTGTCTGTAGATTAATCTGTTTTTTTAGTTGTTTTTTTGTGTGTCTTTTCAAAATAAAAGACGAGGGGCTTTGTGCCAGCGCCCCCAAAAACCACATGTTATCCTCTCTGGCTTATTAAGAAGTAATGTATCTGTGACAGAATTCTCTGTTTTGGGGTTCCTTCAGGGGGCGATGCAGCTGGTCCGGGAAACAGAGCAGAAACTAGAGGAGGCTGAGCAGCAATGTCAAGATTTAACCAAATCTTCCTTTGAGGAATGTCGACCTTGTCTTGAAGATACTTGTAAGGCCTTCTATACTTCGACGTGTCGACGTGGCTTCGCCTCCTTCTCATTCAAGGTTTGACCTCAGCATATTCTTATTATAATCGTCTCAGTTAAATAATGAAGCAGAGACTGGTTTGTAACTCCACACATGATGGTTTCTCTATGAATCTCTCTCTCTGCAGGTGGAGGAGTTTTTCAGGAAAATGGCCACCCAGCTGGAAGCCACAGAGCGTGTTTTCGACCAAAACGAGGAGAATGCGGGTCGCACCAACCCACCTGAGAACCAGGTCTCAGAAGATGAAGCTGACCTGGAGCTTCTGCAGGTGGATGCATCGTTCAGCCAGCTGCTGTCAAACATCAGCCTCCTGCACAACCAGAGCGCCATTCTGGTCAAAAAGATGCAACAGGTGTTTGGGAATTCCTTCCTGATGGCCTTCAACACAGAGCTCCAACCCAGCCCGCAGTCGTCCATGCAGGGTGGCACGAGTGCTGGCTTCTTCAGGACAGTGGGTCTGGACCACATCGTTGACTCGGTGTATGACTTTGGGAGGAATGTGCTGGAGGAGTTCAGCTCCACGGTGGTGGATGTGTTTGAGGAGGTACAAGAAGCAGAGGAGTACTTCCATCAATTAAGCAGAGGTATGTGAGCACTACATGTGTATTCCCTTTATTCTTTCTCGTATGATAACCACTTTAACATCTATTACTGTATATTTATCTACAAAGATACAGGAGCCCTCTCTGCTTTGGGACAGTCCCAGAACAGACATCTGTGCAGACGACTTCGCAGGCAAGCATCAGAGTGCTGGCAGCTCCAAAGTTTGTGCGAGACGTGTGAAGATTATCTGGTGAAAGGTAAATAACCGGCATATTGTTTTTAGCACTATTGATTTCAGATCTATGTAGCTGCTCATCCCATATGTGTGCATATAGTACAGATATGAGGAAATGTCTCCATCTGGGCTTTAAATGCAAATAATACGTTTGCTAATTGCAGTTTAGTGTCACTATAAAGTCTGAATCTTGTGAGCTAGTTTTAGTAATAAAAGGCATCATGAGTTAAACATTACCGTAATATAAATTACATGGTTTATTATTACTTTGATTGTCTGATGAATTGTTTAGTCTATAAAATGTCTATAAAATACTTATCACACAATACTACCTGAGAGCTCGTGCTGTCTTCAAATTGCTTCTTTTGTCTGACTAAAAATCCAAATCCAATAAATTTTATACGGACATATAAATCAGAGAAAAGCAAATTCTCACATTTAAGAAGCTAAAAACAGTAAATGTTTGACACGCTTGATCGATAACTGACTTAAACTGTTAATTGATCATCAAAATTGTTGATTAATTTTCTGCTGACAGTGAATATAACTTATGGCATTTTAGCTAAAATAGTCTGCACTGATATAATCTGTGAAGTGATTTAAATAATTGACTTTTACTCCAAAGAGAAAATAATAAAATATAATTAATAATTGTAGTTTTTCTTGTTTCTTAACTTCACCAACACACCCGGGCTTTTGCACGCTCCTCTATATGTGATCATTTGTTCGTACAGAGTGTCCCAGTGTCCAGCAGTTACACTCTGAGATGGAGGAGATGTACATGCTCCTCAACGCCTCCCGTCAGCAGTACGACGACAGGCTGCAGCTGGTGCAGAGACACACAGCGGACACACAGAGGTGGCTCAGCATCATGGATGACAAGTACGGCTGGCTCAGCCAACTGTCCAACAGCACAGCGGGCCCACACAACATCTTCAGCGTGATCACAGTATGTTTCCAGTGCATTCATCAGACTTTATCTTTTAGTATTTAAATTTTGGATGTCATGAGGGTTGTGCCAAATGCATTGCAACAAGGATTACTGTTGTGAATTTCTTGGCCAAAGAGGATTCAAAAATAATCCTGTTATTTGAATTCTGTTACAGATAATAGACTTAATCTCTAAAATGAATGAACACGGTTTAAATTAAAACTCCACAGCCGAAGCACATGTTGTTTATGGAACCTGGCTGTGTACATAATGCGGCCTACAAATGGGTACGGTTTCTTTAAGCTGGAGGGAATCTCGTTAGGTGTTTCAGCCGCTGGCAGGTGAGCAAGGACGTTATTTGTTGTACAAGAACTGATTCACTCAATCTCATTTTTCAGGTGAATCCACAGCAACAGATGAAGAACATCAGACCTAAAGCTGACAGCAGTGTGGCTGTAACATTACTGGACTCTGCCCCAATAACGGTCTCAGTCCCAGCGGAGCTGGAGGTGGACGACCCTGCTTTTATCCAATATGTAGCTCAAGAAGCTCTGACTCTCCACAAACGGCAGATAAGAGGTATTGATGCTGGCAGTGTTGTGGCTTAGTTAATTATGTGGCTCCTGGCATCACTTGGCAGAGCTCCAAATTGAATTTGAGCAAAATGAATTGTGATAATTTGAATCCGACAACTTTACACTGTGACAAATCCCTGTGCATTTCTTCACATTTAATCTTATTCTGAGAGACACAATGCAAATGGGATGATGTGTCATAATCCAAAATGATGAAGTAACTAAGAAACAATCCTAAATTTCACCCTTCACTGACTTTGTATCACAAGATTAAATGAATTTGTACATAGAGACTATTTAAATTGATTGACTGGCTTGTGTTGACGCCTACATCAGTTTAAATTGTGGTTTATTTTCTTTAAAAAACTCTTTATGTTTTTTTTCTCGACACAGGAACAGACTAATGTGAACATCCCAGTGTTCATCCATTATCATCAGATGCTGAATAAAGAGTCCAGTACAGGTTATCTTTGAACAATTAAGCTAATCCTTGTAAAACTTGAAATCTGTATTAGACCTCTAAACCTTTACATGCACAGCTTATGTTCCTTTTATTCATGTAAGTTAAATCGTAGGGTTTTAAATGTTTCTGCAATAAACCTGTGTACACTCTGCTCGAGCCATTCTTTCATTTATTTATTTATTTTTGTCAAAATTCATCCTAATTCATGTAGTGACTTCCTTAACTGTAATTTAGAATATTTATCACTTCCTCTGTTTAAGGCAGGTGAAATGGCTTTAAGTCTAGTCCACATTTTACAGGTTTGTGGTTGTATAGGTCTACTTAAACTCAATCCTTTCTAATGTTATTATGTTTATTTTATTTATTTATTACTAAATTTCGATTTATAGCAGTCGTACAAGAAAAAACACTGTAAATAAAGCTATAATTTGTGGTTTCAGTAAAAACAAAACAAAAAAAAGTGACTTCCTTAACTGTAATTTTAAATGTAATACTTGGATATTTTCTAAAGCTGATATTTTAATCACCTTTTTACGGAGCCCCTAAAGGGACATGGGGGAAAAAAATAAAATGAAACGTTTCTAGTGAGCACTAGATACTATCTTGTGGTCACCAGATCCATATCTAGTGCACTAGATACTATCTAGTGCTCACTAGAAAGGGATCGTGTGTTGTGGCAAATCAACACATGGCTCGTTTGAATATTAAAATTAGCCATTTGTTGACTACCACAACGTATCTAATGCGCACTAGATAGTATCTAGTGCTCACAAAATAGTATCTAGTGCTCACAAAATAGTATCTAGTGCTCATAATATGTTATCTAGTGCGCACTAGAAACGTTTCATTTTATTTTATTTTCCCCATGTCCCTTTAGGGGCTCCATAGAAAACAGAATGCTTATGCTTGCAAATTTGTATTCACACAAATGTTTATTTTATTTATCACTTCCTCTGTTTAAGGCAGGTGAAATGGCTGTAAGTTAAGTCTACTCCACATTTTACAGGTTTGTTGTTGTATAGGTCTACTTAAAACTCTATTTTTACTCTTTAAAAACATTATTATGTGTATTTTATGTATTTATTACTATATTTAGATTTTCTTATGGCAGTCGTTGTACAAGTAAACACTGTAAATAAAGCTATAATTTGTGGTTTCACTTAGTAAAAAAAAAGAAAAAGAAAATCATGTTAAAAGCCCGCGTTTCACAACTATCGCGAGATGTCTCTAAAACAAAATCACCCGCGAAAAACTGACCACTCAACAACAACAACACTTCTCTGTCCGCATCTCCACTTTTATCCACAAACAAAAAAATGCCGGCCACTTCAGAACTACACACCGAGGAGCTGCAGAGGGAGGGCGGCTGTAAGAAGGAGGAAGAACCTGACATGGCGGCGGCGGAGAAGAACAAGAAGACCTTCGGTATCTTCAGCGATGAACGCGGGTATCTGGATCAGATCGAGTACATCATGGAGCACGGCCGCAGGAAGGGGGACCGGACCGGGACAGGAGTCGTCTCTGTGTTCGGGACTCAGGCCAGATACAATCTGAGAGGTTTATTTGTTTGTTTGTTTTTAATCTATTTGCTGTACATGTTAAAAATAAATGCCTGTAAGAAACCGAGGAGGCGGAAGTGTTCAATGATGAAATACTTTTAAATAAAAGTCCTGCATTCAAAAAATAAAATTAAAAAAATCCAGGGTAAGTAAATTCTGCATCATTTTAAGGTCATACATACGTTTTAAAATTATTATTATTATTGCATTAATGCACTTATAATTAAATGATCAGGTTTTGTTTGCAAACATCTCAATCTGCATCCAAAATCTATAAAATAAAAATAAAAGTGGAGTGAGAATATGTCAATATTAGTGCGTTTTAGTGGAGTGTATAGTATAGTATATATGGAGGATGTGTCAATATGTGTCCTGCATTCAAAAAAATAAATAAAGAATAAGTCAATTCTGCATGATGGACCTTTTTCTGTGTCAAACATACTTTTTTAGATAATTATTATTAGTGCATTAATGGGTAAGAAGCGTTTAGATCAATAGTGCACCATTTTTAATTGATTGATTGGGATTAATGCAAACCAAACACAATCTGCATCCAAAGTCTATAAAATATAAGCGGAGTATATTGTACAGTTTGTATATGAGAAGAGTATAAATGCAGAATATGTCAATATTTCTGAGTTTTAGTGGAGTGTCAATTTAAAATGACATGAAATTAAATTAAAAGTAAGATGTGTTTGTTGGTATCAGCAAATAGGTCACAAAGAAACAAGAAACTAGTACAGATTAGTTTGTGATAATTTAGAAACAATTACATAGTTTGTCCAACAGGGAGCACTGAGAAGTTTATTTCTAACTTCCTCCTTCATGTTCATGTCTGTTCATGTTGAACAACAGTGTTTGCCTCACAAATCCAGTGTCAGTCCGGTTATGAAATGTACTCGAAGCAACTTTCACTGTAATTAATTATATAGTCAGTAATGTCTAATGACTTGTTTCTGTTTGTTTGTAGATCAGTTTCCTTTGCTCACGACCAAGAGGGTGTTTTGGAAAGGGATCCTTGAAGAATTGCTTTGGTTTATCAAGGTGAGGATAATATATATGATTTTTTATGTTTTCACTTTCCACTAGAGGTATAGAGTCATTTGATTGCTTACTGAAATACTAAGCTCTTGTTCTTCTGGTATTTCTTTACTGTGTGGTCGCAGGGATCAACAAATGCCAAAGAGCTCTCGGCGAAAGGTGTGAAGATCTGGGATGCCAACGGATCCCGGGACTTCCTGGACAACCTCGGGTTCACAGACAGAGAGGAAGGCGACCTGGGACCTGTGTACGGGTTCCAGTGGAGGCACTTTGGTGCCGAGTACACAAACATGCATGCAGGTACAATATCACAGCCACGCAGAGTTCACTGTGCAGGAAAATGTGCAAAGGATTAAACCTGCTGTGGGTAAATCTCCATTCAGAACTGCAGTTATTTTTAAAAGTAGGAGCACATCGGACCTTGAAGGAATAGTTCAATATTTTGTGGATTCTCTTTCTTGCCTGGAGTTACATGAGATTGATATCACTCTCATGTCTGCGTGGTAAATCTGAAGCTGCAGCCAGCAGACTAGTAGCCTAGTTGAGCATAAAGACAGAAATTAAAGTTTGTAGTTCCTTCATGTTACACTTAAAATAATAATAACATAAAAGATGAATAAAATAGAACAAACTCAAACTATAAATACTGTTATTTACATACACAAATACAGGCAGGAGATAATTCTGCAGTGCATCTTTTTGAATTTGCATCTGGTTGAACAGCAGCGACAAAGAGATAGCGATGATGATACGGTTTCATCTAACAGCTTGCCAGGATCACTAATTTTACACATCATATCTAATTATTCTTTAATCTGTGCAAAAACCAAACCTTAAAGACGTCACATGGTTTTACGGGAGGCTCAAATTCTTTGGCAAGAGAGTGAAATGAGCAAAATCTAACTATTCCTTTAAACAGAAGATATTAGGTATATATATATTACACCGTAGCAAACATAACCAAACACTGTCCCTCCGATCTTAAATGGTCCTTTTTCCTTCAACAGATTACACGGGACAAGGTGTTGACCAGCTGCAGAAGGTCATTGACACGATCAAAAAGAACCCAGAGGACAGACGGATCATCATGTGTGCCTGGAACCCCAAAGGTGAACCACGAACAAAACTAGGATATAAGAGCTCTCTCTTTAAATCCCTTTTATAGTGTTGTTCTATCATTTTTAAATCTATATCTCATACGTTGTTGCAGACATGCCCCACATGGCTCTGCCCCCCTGCCACGCCCTGTGTCAGTTCTACGTGTGTGACGGTGAGCTGTCGTGTCAGCTGTACCAGCGCTCGGGTGATATGGGCCTCGGGGTGCCTTTCAATATTGCCAGCTATGCACTTCTTACCTACATGATCGCACACATCACAGGACTCAAGGTAACTTTGTTGAAAGCTCTCATCTGATTTTAACGTACAGTCGTGTGCTTCATGACCTCACCTGTTGTTTTTATTCCGTCCCTTCAGCCTGGCGACTTCGTTCACACTCTGGGAGACGCTCACATCTACATCAACCACATTGAACCTCTAAAAGTACAGGTGAGTTGGTTAAACACAGTTGTTCTGCCTCTCCTGTGCTCTCTACTTGATCTCAAACTTACACAAGCTCATCTGTCTGAAATGTGCAGCTTCAGCGGGAGATCCGCCCCTTCCCCAAGCTGAAGATCCTGAGAAAAGTGGAGAGTATTGATGATTTCCGCGCAGAAGACTTTGAAATCTGCGACTACAACCCTCATCCACCCATTAAGATGCAGATGGCTGTGTGAAAATCCCACTTTAATGAGGGATAAATATGGTGGGTGTGGGAAAGCGGAAAGTTCTATATGTACTGTACAGGATGTCTTTCACTATCATTACAGGCAGAGGAATGTTTTGCTTGCAAATGCCAATTAATATCTAATTTGTAAATAAAGAATTTGCTCGTGTCAGCTTGGTGTGTACAGAATTGTTATTAACCAAACAGGAGCCTGGCTTTAAAACATTTAATATTACAGTCTGAATTTGAATCATTTGTTTATGTGCAGCTTCCATACATCCCCTTCAGGGTACTGGTGTCTCTGCACCGATGACTCCAGCATCTCACAAGAATATCCTGGATCCTGAGAACAATAAGCACAGTGTACTCAAATAAGAGCCTAAAGCAACAAGTGTGGATGTAAAGGAGAAACATTATTTTTTTTTGTGCAAAGCAGAGAGTAATTATAGTTTATCTGTTCTTCATCTTACCTTGGGGGGCATGTAGTGGGCGTCATGAATCACCACAGGACTGGTGAAGTGTTCGTGCAGGTGATCTACATATTCACACATTCTGGAAAGGAGGAAAAATAAACACCGGTGCTGATTATCGTGTACTAATCAGACGCAGTCAAGAGCTCGCTCACAGTCGACAAAAACAAATCCTGCTCTTACCGGTGACTGAGACTTCCAGACACACAGACGTAGTCAAACAGAATCAGATGCTGGACGAGCTCACAGAGGCCAACTCCGCCAGCATGAGGACAAACAGGCACTAAGGGAAAATATGCAGTGGTGTGTGTGTATATATATTGTATTGTATTACAGTTTTTATATCCCAATGCTACAGAGCCATGAAATCAAACAAAAGGTAGTAAAGGGTTATCCATCAATTCCAAATACTATTAGTTAAATAGTAAAAATTGTGTTTACACTGTTCCTTTGACCTTCAATCAGGTCTTACAATTAACTCATATTACTAGCTAGTTAAACCATTTATCTATTCTTTAATTTAGCCATGCAACATTTCAATTTCCATGTTGTCCGAGGTAGTTTGGTCCTGAAAATGGAAAATGTAGCTCGAGGGGAAAAAAGGGAATAAATAAATTAATGAAAAAGGCAAAAAAGAAACAGGAAAACTAAGCAGCTGAAAAGCAAAATGAACTTATGAGCGATGAATGGAAGAGAAGAACTCAAGTTATTCTACCAACTATTTGGAGATTAAAGACATATATAAATCTCCTTTTAAGTTATTTAACAGTATTATCTAACTCTTTTTGAGGTCCATGTTCCTCTTGTGAGTGTTGAGTGTTGACATGCCTTGAGGTTTACCCTGGAACTTGTGGGCCATCAGCAGCACAGCCAGGTTCTCGTTGACGCTGCCCAGCCGACAGCTGTCTATTTGGACAAACTGCAGGGCCGAGGCCTGGAGGAACTGCTTAAACATCACCCTGTTGTGACACTGGAGAGGAAACAGTTACCCAACTAGAAACTATGATTTCATTAGCAGCAGCGATACGTATGCAAGAATAAACTCAAGCTCTGACCTGCTCTCCTGTTGCCACACCAATACCGAGTGGAGCCAAAGCCTGTAACAACAAAATCAAACATCTTTTATTAGTCTTTAGTCTTAATGAATGGGCCTACAGGGCACAGGTCCAGGGGCCCAGAAGGCAAAGAGCTGCTAAACCTAAAAACAGAGTCAAAAATAACTACAAAGAGACAAATATTGCTGAAAAAGGAATACAAACTGACTACAAAGATACAAAAATGATCACAAAGACACACAAAACCACTACAAAGGGATGCAAAACAACAACAAAGCCACAAAATAACTAAAAGAGACAAAATGATCACAGAGACTCAAACCAAGAGGACTCCTTCAGCCTCACTATACTGAAGGATCGGGGGGGGGGCTCCACATCTTCAACACGCAAACACATCAGCAAGCTGTAAAATCAAACTTCTCTCTCACCTTGGAGATAGCAGCGTGACCCAGGATGTCATCTGGAGAAGTGGGCTCCTCGATCCACAGAGGTTTGAACTCAGCCAGCCTGGACACCCAGCTAATGGCCTCGGCTACGTCCCATCTCTGGTTGGCATCGATCATCTAACACAAAAAACACTTTAGTATACTTTTATTTCCTGGTGTAAAGACAAGGTCGGGAGTATAAACAACCGTACCAAAGTGTTATTGGCTCCAATCATTTGCCTTATGAGGCGGCACCTGCGTATGTCGTCCTCTAGATCAGCACCGACTTTCACCTTGAACTTGGTCCAACCGCTTTTCAGTGCATCTGTGCAGAGCTTCAGAAACACACAACCGTCGTGGTTATTTGAGAATAATTTGTGCAACCAGAGAAATGAGAAGCATTTTATAGCACGGAGACCTGTTTGAGCTGCTGGTCCGAGTATCCGAGCCACGCACAGGAGGTGGTGTAGGCAGGATAACCCTCTCTGAGCATTTGGTCCTCTGGCGGGCGAAAGAAGCAGTCCACACAGGTAATAAACACTCGAGGAGAAGCGCGTTTTAATAGTGCAATCATTGAGTGCAGGGGCCTATTATGAAGGCTAAAAGCACTCCTGTTAGTTTCTAAAGAGGCAATTCTGTTCCACAAAACCCCCATTCAGCTATGTAATTAATGACTCTTTTTAGTGTGCTCACCTCTCTGCTGCTTTCCCTTCTGTGCCTTCACAAGTATGTCTGAATTAGAAAAGAGAAGCAGAAAGAGTGTCTTGCTTTGAGTAACAACGCACTTACAAAAACTGTTCTGGACATAAACCGGTCTCACCTAGAGCCTCATCCTCTGTGAGCACATCGGTGATGTATCTGAAGTCAATGCATGACACAATTTGCTTGGGATCCTGAATTAACACACACACACACACACACACACACACACACACACACACACACACACACACACACACACACACACACACTATAAATAAGACCTGTTATTTCCCTTGCAATCACATCCAGGACATAAATCCAACATCTATATTTCCTGTGACTCACCATGTCAACAAGCAGCTTCCACAGCGGCTGAAAGAAAGTGACGACAAACAGGGTTGTGAGTCATGAAGTATCATACCAGTGAGGGAAAATTGTGTTTTTCTAATAATGCCTGTCCCACCTTTCCCTCTGCTCTCGCCCACAGGTCCCACACAGCATTCAGGACTGCAGCAGTGGCCAGGTGAGTCACTCCTTTCTCTGGGCCTAACTGGTTCAGGCAAGAGTTTAGAAAGTCAACCTTGACAACTGTTTTGAGTAGTGCTGAAAAAAATAAATGCTTAACTGGAGTGTGCATCAAAAATAAAGAGGCAGAATTTGAAAAACAGCCAAATTAAAACCTGGTGTAAGAAAAAAAAACCTGTAATTAAAACAGGATTTGTGGGCAGAATTTTTCAAACGTGTTATTAGCCAGCACTTTGAGAACCCATTATAAAAGGCTTTTTTGTATCTGAAGGACCTCTTCTGCACGCACCTGTGACTACTTCTCAAAAATCCTGAGTGCCTCACATCTATTCGTCTTGGCCCATTAATCAGGACTTTAGGACCTTCAGAAACTCGATTAGAGGACTTGTGTGTACCAGTAATATCACATGGGAACATTTCAGCAGTGCACCTTGCAGCAATAAGCCACGATCACAGACAGAAGGATTTTAAATTTAGTAATTAGTAACCAAACAGGATTTATGTGCCTCTTACTTTAAGTATCATGAATTAGAGTGTTCTAGATGAGGAGACAGAAGAGAGATATCTTATTAAAGAATAAGAATAAATGAGGTTAAAGAATCTATGACAAGAGGATGTGAATCATTATTTTTTATGTTGGAAAAAGAGGAGGCAGAAACAGAAAACATCCAGACTGTTGTGATTGTTATGAATTTTAATATCAGTAATAGGCTTGTGCACTTGTTCTTACCCATCTCATCTGGCTATCACTGGTCAGGAGGCGGTAAAATCCACGGAAGTCGCTCACAATCTCCTGCAGGGATTTCCCAACAACCAGTCCAGCCAGGGCCTCCACAGCACACACCACTGCAGGGTCACAATCAACTAAAGTCAGCCTCTAGACAGTTTTACATTGATACTCATATATGTGCCATACTTTATCTGTAGGAGTCTTTACACTGGTTGTATTGTGTTTAATAAAAATGACCACAAGGTGGCGGTGTGAGGTTCAACTTCACAAGCATGTAAGAAAATAATTAAGTTAAGTTAAAAATACAATCAGCATTTGTATTTTAAAACCTTTCTAACCTTTCTAATACCTAAATACATATGATTATTAAGTATTACATATATTTGTGTATCTGTATTATTTATGTTTTATAAATTGCTGTGGTTGTAAGAGCGGCGGGAGTCTTTAATATTTAATACTATGTAATTAAAAGACACATTTATTATTAACACAGTAGGATTTGGTATTTAATTTCATTAGCTGATATATATACTGTGTATTATTTCACCCAACAGCACTTTAATCCAATTCATGGAATTTGCAAGAGGCTCGATGCAGGAAGTCGAAATTCGGAGCTTATTTGGAGCACTTGAACGCAGCAGCAACACTGTTTGTGAAGTTGTCACAATGTACAGATCTTACCAATCTCTGTCCCCTTTCCCAGAGTGAATGTGAGGCCGAAGCCTTTCAACCCGCAGTCCGTGTCGATCACCACATATGCGGCCGAATAATCGGGGTCGGTGTGCTGCAGAGGCATACACTTCAAAGTTCAAGCATGTAAACACAACACATATATTCACATTATTGCTACAAGCTACAGAAACCTCCTCACCATCGCATCTGAGCCGTGCTGCTCCAAAGATGTCGGGAATCTCACATCCCTGACTGTCAAATTAGTAATTTTGTGCAACATTTTGGCGCTGAGTTGCACTTGTCTTGTGATTCAAGGCACTGTTGCATTGAATAAGTAGAGCCCACCCACCAAAGCCAGTCATTGGTTTAAACATGAGTCACCTGGAACATTTAAAGAGACAAATCAAAACAAAGAAAACCCAATACTGGACTGTTTAAAATCACGTCTTTATTGTACAAATTCACTCAGATGAGTCTGCACCCACTGCCTCCCTCCCCAAATATATTTTGCAATCTTGCTCGTTTTATTAATAATCTTATAAAATGAGGATTTTTATAATATACAAAGCCCTTCCTTACAAGCTCAGGCGTCA